ATAAAATAAAATTGCATTAACCCCTGAAGATTTCCAAAATATACGGGTCCTACCCCTGAAGAATGCTTCACCTTCAAAGAATCCCATGTATTTTTCCTTTACTCCTGAACAATTCCTCAATTTTTGTAACTTGCCCCTGAAGAATTCCATTGGTCCTCAACCTGGGGAGTACGGCTGTAAAATGAAACAACCCAATTTTTGATGGTTAACTAGTACAGTGATACCGCGTCATTGTAACCATCTTAGGGCCATAAAAAGGTAGTTTCCTTTCAGAAACATTCGCGCCGAATGATAGAACATGGTAGTAACAACAAGGACCGTAATGTAAGAAGGACTTTCGTTTGGGGCAGTTCCATTGTATTTTGAAACTTTGGACTTATTACTTCTTATCCATTTTTGTAACCACTTTCATTTAGGTGGTGAAACATTGAGCAAATTGGTAGAAATTCTCAACGCATGGTGGGGTTTGGGCCGTGAACATTTGGTGGTATGAACGTAAAAACTGTATTGTCTTAATGATTACAGCCCTTGAAGGGAGTGCCTTTGGTAGGAGTAAAAGGGTTTCATTTGACAACAGCGCCGTAGCTAGTATGAGGCCAACCGAGGCACTCGCCTCGGTAAAATTTTGACGAATTTCGCCGATCATTTTTATTTTACATAAGCGATCATCGGATATTTTTAACGCATTATGATATTACAAAGAATTCAGCAATTCAGTCAATATACTATGAAAAAATTACCATATCATCGATCTCAAGGGGCTACGTACGTTAACTCAAATTTTTTTTGAACAAATACTGATCAAAACCATTGGCGAGGTTAACGGTCACCCAGATTATGTAGCTTGTTTCTGATTATTGCTTTTTAAATTCCACTTAAATTAACTCGAAAAAAAGTTACCGGAAGGCCCAGAAAACGCTGCAAATCGCATTTCCGAGAGACTAAAGTTCAAAATTTCTCGGGGGAGGGCATGCCCCCGAACCCCCCTAGCAACTCCCACCTGCCTCGGTTGGCCGTTTGGTCTGGCTACGGCACTGGACAAGCTCTAAATAATGTTGTAGCAGCTCTGTTGTTGACATTCCCAAAGACCTCAAGCTCTTGTGGTGGCTTATGCAAATAAGGTTCAGCCTCTTTATAGATGAACTTTAAATCAAATGAATATGATTTATTTTATATACATCTATCACAGATGGAATTTTTTTGGCTAGATTGCAAAATATCCGGCCCACTAAAAATCTAACTTAAAGAAAAGCTGCTCCCGCAGTCCCATAGTCGGTCGATTTGTATAATTAATTCTGATATCTGACTGCGGGACTGAGGGAGCACTCGTTTTACTTCGGTATAACAGAACACCCGACTTCCGGATTACGGGAGTATTTTTTCAAGTATGAGACATTTAGTGGGCTGGGTATTCTGCAATCGCTGTTTTTTTCCACATAAACCTCTAAAAACGTAATTCGAATCAGTTTTAACCCTTTTCAGACAAATGTTCTTTACCAATGAAAAACCGGAGAAGAAATCCATCGTGCGTGCAACAATGGCTGGTACGGACAAGAAACTCTTCAGAGCGGCATCCCCAGGGGATTTGGCAGTGGACAAGACGAGAAACAGACTATACTGGACGGACACTATTATGAAAAGGATTGAGTATGCAGATCTCACAGGTACGGTCTTAGAGGTACGGGTTCGCTCTTGAATGTATTATATGATTGCCACACTCAAATGGGTGTCAATAAAAAAAGAAATACAACAGCAACAACAACGACAACTAAAAAATTAGGCAATGAACAAAGCTTAGATTTCACCCAGTGACAATAAACTAAGTATCTATTGGTTGGCAAAAATATGACATTTTAGTACAGAAACGTGTGAATTTTCTTGGTGTAAGTAGTATTGGTAGTCTAGCCAGTGCCACAAAGGATGCCGCCGACCGCCGCTATTGTTCTCAAGTTGTCAATCAAATCCGCTATTGTTCTCGAATTTATGGTAATGAGGTATGACATCATCAAGTAAGAAGAAGAGACATTTCATGTGTTACTATATAGGAGTAGAAAGGGAACATATATGTGTCGAAGAGAGGAAAAAGAGAGGAAAAAGACAAGTGGGACAGAATTGCTGTCCCCTCATTACGCATGCAAAATGGGCAGAACGCATGCGCAGAAACAAAAACGTTTTAAAACTTTGAAAAAAGTGAAATAAATTTCGTAAATTCAATCAGACCAAACAACAAAGGGAATATAGCTTAACTGGGAGAGCGCTCGCTTTGCAAGCGAGAGGTTCAGGGATCGAAACTTCGTGTTTCCACTTTTTATTTAAAAAAAAATAAGGCAAAGCGAGGTTTTGATCCTCGGACCTTTGGGTTATGAGCCCAACGCGCTGACCACTGCGCTACGTAGCCTTTTTTGAAAAACCTGAAAGAACCCTGAAAGAACCAGTTACCTTCAATATCAAATTAGATTGGGCGCCAGTACTAACGGTATCACGACTGCGCTATGCCGTTACAAGAAGTAATATATAGATTTAGCCAGGGCTAAAAGCGAGGCTCCCATTAATAAATTTATAATTTAAATCAAACAATAAACTTGTATTCCACAATTCAGTTAACTTTAGAGCACATTCGTGTGACTTTTTAGGGAAAGGCTAAGTGATTTTACAAAAAATAATTTGCACCCAAAAACTGGCAATCATCTTCGATCACATTTATTAAGAGCCATAATGGCTCTTGATCACCGTAGATTAATTAGGCCTGGAAAAAAATTCCGGCCGAATTTTTTGCGTTCGACAAGTTTACTTTACAAAATCTTGCCAACAAATCTGGGTGCGTGTAAACCAACCTTTTATATCATTTGTATATCACATCTGAGGTGAAACAGTACTACGGGGCTCTGTTTTATCATACAGACCTCGGAGAACAGAATGCAGTATTTCGCAATATTGCGTACAAATTGCTATCATTCAATATTCAGGACGATCGCAGCACGCGTGGGCTTTAGCTAAACCGTTAAAAAAAATTTTTTCAAAATCATCTATACGGCCAGCCGGTTCTGACTTTTGCAGTGCTAGCCGTGGCGAGTGTTTGAATGAACATTAACACAGTTACGCTCCAACATAATAAATAATTTATTATGTTTATTTTCTATTTTAAAACGGTTTAACGCGCGGCATTTTGAGTACTCCGGGAAGCGTTGTTCACTGAACGACTGAAAACGATCGGCACAGCGATTAAAATTACAAGAGACAGTACTAACAATCAATAAAAGAAATATAACTCGGTGAAACATATACAGAGACGACAATTTTCATTCAGGAAGACAACTATTAAAGTGTCTCTAAAAATCCTGAGTCTTCGAGCTTAAAGCTGAACTTTATGTTTTAAGCCGGCTTCCCGGTGTTTGCTTTTTTCAAAGATGAACTCGAGGCGAGGAAATCGCTCAAACCTTTCTTTTACAGCCAGAATTATAACTAAATATTCCTTGAAACGTTTTCTTTCTATTTTCGGTGAGAAAATGTCTAAAGGCTTTTTAAAGATCTGTAAGCTTATAACAAAGATACTCGGTCAGATCATTGTCTCAAACCTTACAAACGTGCGTAAACAAAATAGCCGCATAAACTACGCTCGACTTCATTAAATTAGGAAGAAAAAAAAAACATCAGATACAATAATTACTTAGGCTTACCACTCGAAATGTAGCTCCTGAAAGGTATCAAGTAAGGCCAGTATCGCTTCAGACTTAGCCACCCTTTTACACATTAAGCAAGGTGAAAACGAAAACGATGCCATCCGAAATCGGATTTCCGACTTTGACTCAACCAAAAACCCAATAAACAAACTAGCCATGAATAACAGAAGACTCCTGATAGAATCTGAATTTCATTTTGTACATCCAGTGGAAAAAGAAAGTTAAAAACATCACAAGTTGACACAAAACTCTGTCAGCTTCAGCTGTCAAAGGAAACAAGATTCAAGATGCTGCATACATTTTCCGCATGAGCTCACCTGTCAAATTTTGACCAATCAGAACATAAAAATTGGACGTAGAGCATGACCAACGCGTGAACATGGCGAGAAAAGTCAAAAGCAACTGTCTTCCCTGCCTGTAGCAGCTGGCTGAATTTTCGCGTCCGAGATCAGTTTGAAATCAAAATTTTAATTGTGCGGCACATAAATACAACATATTTCGTATGAATTTTAAAAAAATTAAACTTGAGCTTGCGATCATTTGAAAACCATCATCCATTTCTGACTTAATCAATCAAGAATGGCCAATAAAGTTTTTGTCAGTGACACCGTGCATAATGTGCCCAAATAGTGTGTCAATGGTAATGGTAACAGTTCCACACTTTGAAGAGACAACAATGTCTGTGATTTCATAGGAAAACGACGTTCTGCACTCAACCGTTGAAGTTAGTGCAATAAAGTATCACTCATTCCCATTAACAATGATTCGTGTGCTTCTGGCGGTCGAAGTTCTTGAACTTTAACGTTGAATTGGATTTCGTCCACTCTGTCATTGTCAGCAGTATACCTGTCACCTGTTTTCACCAAATCAATCTTGATCAATGGGTTATATGAATTATACCGATGAGGTTCTGTTTGTCGTTTTTCCATCCAATTGGAAAATATTTCCAAATCATGCATAGTCACTTGTTGCATCTTGACTGACTCTAACCCACAACTATATCTCAACACTCTTTGTAATTGAAATATACTGAGTCAACAGAATTTTCTTTCGTTTCCAGGACCCCTCTCCTGTTACCTCCCTCAGGGTTAGACATCGAGACTTAGGGTTAAAATGCTAATAAACCCTAGTCTCTAGGGGTTAGGGTTAGACATCACGGGTTAAAATGGAAATTAGGGTTAGGGTTAGGGTTAGGGTTAAGGTTATTGATTAGGGTTAGGCTTAGGCTTAGGCGCTTTACCAAAGGCATTGACACCACCAAAGGAACCAGGTTGTGAAGGATTTTCGTACGACATGATACACAATGTATTGACTAGCCAAATACGAGAATGAATACAACCAGTCTGGATGCCGGGTCTTTAAATAGGGCAACACTGTCTGTCCTTGTGAAGGAAATTGCATATGGAGCCAAGTGATGTAAACGGCATAGCGACCCCACGATGGATTTCTCTCTATAATAAAGACAAATAAAGGCACTGCGTGACAGGCTTTGTTAGGAATAACGATGTCCTTACCTAGCTTTCCACATATCCAAACCGTACTTCTATACTGTAACGCTTCCATGATGATTTAGTAAAGACAGGTCAGCATGTTCCACTTTATAGTCGTGACTAAAGACTTGCCTGGACTTATTTTCGACTCCAGTTTTTGGTATACCCTTCGGTCCCCATACATGCATGACATGGCAAGGCCAAAATGGTGTCACCTGGTTGTTTTCCATCAAGATATCTTTGACAGTTTGAACAGAGTAACTCATAACGTAGTTGATCATTATCCCCACGTAATGCTTTGATTTCCCCTTCCAGGCATTCAACAAGTTGTTCTTGTTTCTGTAAACGAGCTTGGGTTCTTTTCAATTCTTCCTTACAATCATACCTTGCATGAGTCATCTCTAACAACCTTTTGGCTGACATGATGAACTGATAATGAAGGATACAATAATTTAATAGGCAATTTATAACCCTAGGTTTTAAGTCCTTAGGGAATTGTACATGTTGAGGCAATGACGTTAATAGCATGATGTCAGTCCTTGGGGAATTAGACATGCTGAGACAGACAAACCTATATCATGAACAAAAATAATCACAACCTCTAACCCTAACCTAATTATAATATTAACCCTAGCCCTAACCTTCATTAGCATTTTAACCCTAACCAAGAACAAAATAACCACCCTGACATGAGTTTTTCAAAGGTTTTTATTTTTAAGAATGTTTTAAAAATTAACACTTCTTATAGTAGTGCCTTGTTTGAGTCCTTCTAGAAATTGTTCATGCGCCTTATGCACTGTTTTGCCTTTCTTACAATGAATATCAAATAAATGTTGAAAAAATCGTTCTTGGGCTGGGGTTACAGGTAACCCTTGTTATTTTCGCCTACAGCAATAGGAGGCCAAACTACAGACTTTTTCTGGTAAGTCACCAAAGGGCCATGGTCCATTCACAGTCAGTGATACTTGCATCAGACCAAACACCTGTCGCTTTCTCCTGCTTTTCTGTCTGTTCCGCCTCTGATGGTACATCTTTCTTACGATTCATACATGCTGCAAACTCTTTGTTGGCAATGCTATGGATTTCTTTCCACTGATCTTGTTTCTTGTACATCTCTGCAGTCTGTGGACTCCATTGAAAGGTACTTGGAAGAGACTTATTTTTCTGGGCTTGCCACTGCTGTTCTTGATTTTTGGTCGTTTCGGCAAACTGATTTAACCATGCTTTATTGGATTGCTCCCGTTTCCACTGGCTCACATTCTGCTCAGCTTGTTGTAACCATTCTGTCTGTGTCTGTTTAGTAACAGACTTGAGCGGTCTTGGTTTGTAGGAACGTTGTTGATTGGAGGCAGTAAATTTCACCATGCCTGCCATTCTGGTGTCGGATCCGAAGGTAAAGGATATAACGGAGTGTGTATCCACTGAAAATAACGACAAGGTGGTCTTCGATTGTAGAGGACACCACAGGTTAGAAACACTTTGTCGATGTTTCTGGCTGTTTTACTGTGTCGCATTTTTGGAATATAGTGACACAAACATTCCAACTGACCCCATTTGGCATGAACTTCAGGATGAATGTCTTCTTTCAACGCATGGTATACAATCTTCTTATCCTCGACCTTTCCGTAAAACCATGGACATGGGTTATTTTTATCGTTTTCCGTTAAGAGAAACTTGGTGATTAAAGGCTCATCGGGTTTAAAACAACCTGCGTTCACCAACTCAAGATCTCCGTTGAAGTTCATCGCGATGAATGATATCAAACTGAAACACTGAGCTTATTTTATAGGAGGCTCATTATTCCCCAGGGTGTTGGGCATGTTCAAGCAATGACGTCATGCTATTCTCAAGGGTAGTGTGCAATGATATCAACCTATTCCCCCGGGTGTTGGGCAAGATGAGAATGTAACATGAGAACACGTAGTCAAGTAGACAACACAAATTTTAATACTTCAAGTATGAAAAAATGTTTTACAATGATAAAAAGAGCAAAGTTCTTAAGGAAACGTGAATCCTCCAATGGTTTCCTCAACCTCTACTTTAGGGCGTTTCCACCGTTTCTCCAAACTCATTCTTTCATGCACCATGTCCTTCAGTCGTTTCCTTAGGGCTGATCGGGTCGCTGTTTTAGGCACATACGTTGGCTTAGGGGGTTGATGAACCCATTGAAAGTACCCACAGCGAGTCTCTACATTCTTGGGACAGCTTAAGAAGACTTTGTTCTTGTTTCTAGGTGTTTGACTGAGTTTCAGGATGGGCACTATTCTACAGTCACAGGCAAATGTTCCTTATTGATTCAATACTTTGGAAAGAATCTCGTTACAAAGTGCGTCTAGGACTTCCTGTTTGTTCTCAAAACTTCCAAAGTACACGGGGCAGGTGTAGCACAAGACCAGTCGTTGATTTGGTCGGACAAAGTTGGTGTGGAGAGGTTTGGGCTCTTCCATGAGGTACTCTTACAACCGTGGCCACCATTCTAGAGTGCGACCATTGATCAGCGCTATTCCTTCGTCCAACACTTGAACTTGCTCTAAGTCTGGCTGAGTTTCCATTGAGCTTGGTCCATTGAACAGCTCGTCTACTGTCATCTCTTCATAGGATGGGAGAACTTAAACGAATCCTGCTTGAGTAGATCCCTGCATAAGTTCATGAGAGGGAACCCCAGGGGTGTAGGAGGAGCCACGGGTTTGTTCCAAAGCGAGTAGTCCTTCGCGGAAATATGATCGGTCTTCCCGTTCACTCTCCAACACTTTTTCCAATCTTGCTTTCTCATCAGCCTTTTTCTGTTTTCTTGCTTCGTAGGCTTTCTTTCGCTTTTCTTTGGATTTTTGTTTCTGTGATTCCAAGACTCTAGTTGTTTCAGAGACATCCCTTGCAGCCCCCAACCGTGACTGAAATCGGGAGCGGGTCTTTCCTCTTTCTTGTTTAAGGCTTCAATATTGGCTTGCTGTTCACCAGTCAGTCTCTTTTCCAATTTTTCCATTTTGTCATTCGCTTTTTGAAACTTTTGACCTGTGGACGATCCATCTTGAGTTAGACAAAATATTTCATCCAAAGCCTGACTGAGTTCAGCAGACTGAGACACTGTGATTTCCAAAGTAGGGTCTAACATCTTCAACTGCTTCACAGGTGGTTCTTGCAACTTGCAAATAATGACTAAACTGACATCAAACGCTCACGTTTATAGGGTTTTAAGTCCTTAGGGAATTGGACATGTTGAGGCATTGACGTCATTAACATGACGCCAGTCCTTGGGGAATTGGGCATGATTAGACAGGCAAGCCTATTTAAAGAATGCATCCTACTTGTTTATTTATTGCATCATCATGAGTCAACCAACTGAGACCTCTATTTATGTGACCCTCACCAGTAGTAAATCCGGTGAGTTTCCGAACAATTCTCCTAATCATTTTAAATATCGTCTCCCTCAAGCGATATGGTTAACTGGAAAATGGAAAGTTGGGTTCGCCAGTCTGTATTTACCTGGGGCACCAAACCCCATTCCACATGTGGTTACCTTTCATTCCACTATTCCATCTCATTCAGTAATCCCAACACCACCGAAACAGTTCTCCTACAAAAAATTATCCAATTTATACAAAGGAACAAACACAGACATCATATGTTTCCACAGTATGCCAAGGCTTTTAAGTCAAGTCAAACGCGAGAATTTTCGTCTAGAATAGACAAGACAGATTTATGTGACGCTAACACAGGTTTTGAATTTTTCGGAAAAGTGGTCCATTAGATGGATCAAGATCTGAACAAAAAATTACCTACAGGTTATAAATTTGCTGATAATAACGACCGTTGGAGAGTAGACATTACAGCTCAGGATAATGACACGACTTGCTTGTTACGTCATTACAATATTGACAGCACAAACAGAAAAAGTGTCCTCCATTTTGCTGTTAATCTGATGTTGGCCAAACGTATGGGATGGGTGGTAGAAAAATCAGGCAATGTGTTTGAGGTGGGGCCTAATTTACTCATGAAACTTCCCTATGGAAAAACCTCTGTCAAATCAGATCATGCGACCAGTCACAATGCAGAATTTACATTTACCAAGCCAATTCATGTGGAAGAAGGATTACTCTATCTCTGCTCTACCTTTAGCTGGAGATTTGTGAATTTAAATGAAGCTTTCGAAAAAGCAACCACCCATGTCTTTGAGGCTGCTAAAACACAAACCAATCTTTTCAAACCGTGGATGACTAATACTTCGCTTTAGCGAATGAGTTCTGGTTTAGAGATGGACGATTCAATGGTTGACCTCCCTGTGTCTCTTCATTATTGGAATCCAAACACTCTAATTGTGACGTTGTTAGAAGGGGTTAAGATTGTGATTGGTGGGTCAAAAGGTGTTTATAATGGAGAACTTGAAATAAACATGGCTGGATTAACGAAAAGCAACACTTATACCGTTGCTTTGGAATGGTATCAGAAAGATTAATGGTTGTTTAATCATTCTCATTTTTTCTACAGATGGGACTGGATTGGAGATAGAAAATTTAACCGTCTCCAAACATACTCATGAGTACAGTAAGACCCATTTAATTTATTATCATACGCTCACTATTCAATTTACCAAATCTGTCACGGGAAATGCCTATCTCAATGTCCAGTTTGAAATTGGTTATCCATCACCTTCCACCTATCCTGATGAATTGAAAGATAATACATTTCTAGTTCTGTATGGAGTAAAGGGTCATGTTAATCAAGAAGCTGATGTGTATGATGATCACTCCATTATTCATTCATCTCACACCACCACTACCACAGAGAGTACAGGGATCAAAACTGCTTCCAAAACACCCAGAAATCACGAAAAACTCGACCGCTTTTCATGTACTGCAATTTAACCAAAAGTGAGTATGGAAACAATGCTCTGATGAAGGCTGTCGCTTACAATAACGAAAAAACGCTCATTGAATGCAACCTACTGCAATTTTATTCACTGCGGGGTCAGCTTCTTGACATTGGCGAAGTGACTTTAACAGAATGGAATAGGTCTATGCTTCAGTTCAATAAAGACAGTCCTGTAGTAGTTTACCCTGTTTTCTAAAAAGAAACTGGATGGACAGGAAAGAAAATACATTAAATTGGAAGAGTCAGTGGAGCATGACACACCAATTTAAGCGAACACAGCTGTTTAGTTGATTTTAGTCATGAGTGAAGTTGACTGGATCAACATTGCTGGTCGATCTCTTCTCTATTGCGCTGATCTGTTACAAATGATCAAGAGTTTAAAATAGCTATTGGAAAACGTACAGGAGGAATTGAAACGCGTCAAAGACCTTCTAAAAGAAAAACAAGACAGAGAAGGCTACGACACAGTGTATTGACATGGACAAGGTTCTAGACACGATTGAATTGTCCAAGTTTAAGACGTATCATGAATTTATGCGAGCACTCATTTTGGAAGGGATCTCTGGATATCATTTCACCTTGGATCAATTGAATCACCAATTGTATACTCTCAACAAAGAAATTTATGAAGATTTATGTCAAACCGCCACTGGATATTTTGAAATGCATGCACCAGCAAAAATCAAGTCCTTTGAGAATTAAACATGCTCAGGCAATGACTTCACGACTCTTTTGTTTGGTTTGGTATTAAAAGCCACTGACATGTTGTTCAACCAGCCAAAGCAAGATGATTCGTATCGTTCCGCAGTTCACCATTATTTTTGGTGGTGCACTTGGTGTGGATTTAGAAGCTGGAAAGTTAGCAAGATATTATTGTTTACGTGTAGAAGTCCTTGTTCCACCATGTCATCCACGAAGCAAAACCGTTCCTCCATTAACTTCAACTGAACTCGCTGAAGCAATTCCCACAACCAAGCAAGTAGCTGCTCGCCTCAACAGACAATAAGGCAGACATAGTGTTGGCCTTTACAAACTTCCAGCCGGAAAATAACTTAATTGTGCTTTGAAGGAACTGGCTGGACCGTGGAAATGGCTAAACTTCTCAAGAAAGTCCTTTATGTGTATGATGTGGACAAAAATATTTGATTTTGGTACAGACACGATCAAGATTTATTCTACGCCTTTGATCAAATGTCAGAAGAGCAGTTTGCCTTACCTACTTTTGTACAACGAACTGCCATTGTTGGTGTAATGAACATTTATGATTATCCTGATGCTTTATTGGAACTCCAAGAGACATTTAAACGGAGTTTAAAAATAAGTTCATATTATAAAAGCTCATTCGAAACTCGAAAGCTGAGAGCGAAGGATGATGTCTTCTTCCATACTTCCAATCAAACTGAGTCAAAGTTGAGCCGTGAACTTTTTGAAATGTCCGCTCCAGCCGTGTAATGGTTCCCCTGCAATGGTTTTTGGTTCCATCTGCATTCCATTTGGTTCCATCCTCTTCACACATATAGCAATGGGTTGCTGCTTGAAACTCTGCTTCTTCACTGATGTCTTCCGCGTAATAGTGTAAGTGTGGAATCATGCCTTCGTAATGCAAAATTTCCAACTTGCAGAACTTCTCAAGCCCTGCATAACCGCTTCTCTCACTGCATCGCCCAAGACTTTTGTCCTTGACGGTAAAGTTCCTCATTGATAAAGTTACCATCACACCCTTTGAGGTTGTGATAGAGCACGATTAAATCTCGCTGTTTATCGTCCACTTCTGTGAGATTATTCATTATTGTAATAAAACATTGATTGTATTAAAATAAAACATGTTTGAACTTTATAATTGTCTTGCTTTAGCGCGCATACGTTTTAAAACCATTAATCATACTGTTATTTCACTTTACGGTTGATTCCGCAACGTTTTAAAAACGTTTTGTTACTGCGCATGCGTTCTGTACACTTTGCATGCGTAATGAGGAGACAATAATTCTGTCCCACATTTGTCACTTACCTGCTTCGTTCACATATATAATTTCCCTTTCTATATCTCGGTAGTAACTTATAAAATGTCTCTCTTCTTACCTTATGATGTCATACCTCATTACCAAACAATAACGGCGGTCGGCGGCACCCTTTATGGCACTTGTTAGACTACCAATACTACTCGTGTAATCAAAAGCGAAGCAAGGAGATAGTTTAATGCACGTTTATTTGAAATATTTCGGGAGTGGTAGTTTCTGTTGCTAATGTTCCTTATTTTATCAACGCAGTCCGCGTTCAAGCACTAAAAAAAAAAGTAATAAAAATAACATGTCTGTTGACTAGGTCATTTTTTGGCGACCATTTTCCTAACGTGTTACATGAAAGTAGATCGTGATTAAAATAAAGACTTAAAGAACTGCATCGTCTTCTTCCTCTTATTTTCAACCCTTCTCTCTTGATTTCGGATGAGAACTTAATGCAAGTTTGAAGTGAACGACAACAAGAACACTCACAGTTACAGAACTATACTAGTACGTGAATTATGTCTTCAGTAATTAACATATGGAGCTCACAGTCGCATAAATATACGTTACAGAAATGAACCGTGCCACACTGATTGAGACGAACGTTTTACAGCCTGTTGGCTTAGCAGTCCATGGAAATTATGTGTACTGGATAGATCGTAAGCGCCGCAATATAATGAAAATCAGGGAGGATGAAGATTTTGGCAGAGAAGTGCAAGCAGCTACTGATGATTTATCTGACATGATTGTCGTTGATACACTGAAAACGTCAGGTGTGATGGTTCTTTCATTTTACGCTTCTTCTTGATGGCCATTTTTTTATACTTCAAGTGGTTATAAATAAGGATTTTATTATAGTATTTGTTGGTCAGTATGTAAGGTGGCTTTGAGGGCTTATGCAGTGTACGGGACGACGGCAACGACAGCCAAAAGAAAGCTGAGGTTTAATGAGCCAAACAATCATTTTGCTCTTGAGTCACTCCGTTTGGTACATTTTTTGACCGCCCTCTGTACAATTGGGGCGTTAGATTACCTGGCAGGTATGGGGGAAATAATGGTACGATGCGAATACGAGTTATCGGGAGTTCGAAATAAATAACCAATAATAAGAAAATGGGATAGGGAATAAATGCAAGTAACATGTACACTTCAAAACGTTTTATGATCGATACACAGGACTCAAAACAACGGCCGGTCAACGGACTATGACTGATTGGGGAGTTGACCGGTCAACCTTTGTCTTGCCGTTCATATTGACCGGTTACATTCGATCGTATTGAAAATGAAATAAAATAAATTTCCACGCTGTTCAGTTGTTATCAGTTTGTAGCGAGTCGCTGTGTATTGCGGAACTTTGATCTTTAATCCTGGGTGAAATGCAACTAGAACCGTTGTTTGCAATTCGTGCATTGAAACAGACATTAAGCATTCATGCTAAACAAAATTAAACATATTTTCACTGTTATTGGTTAAGCAACAACTTTTTCCAGGGCTTTGTATAAGTCGCAGAAAAAAAGTCAAATGTTCCGGGATTTTCAGGCAGATTTGCCGGCTGACTTCTAGAAAGCGATCGATTTTGCGCTGATTTGACGAGTGTGTTTAAGAGATAATCAATTGCTATTTTAACAACAAGAGCCAATGGCAAAGCTTTTAACATCATTACCAGTGCCCAGTTTTCCGCGACATAATTTATGCCTGGAAGGCTTGAAACGTTGGTCGCTTATTGTGGTGATAACGTTTACGGAATTAAACAGCCCCAATAGCCAAGATAAGTTTTTAAATATGTTGTATCGACATGTATTTGATAAGATTTTTAGTAAATTTTGCTGGATTTCATGGATTTACCCGAATTTCGCGCCTCCACGACCCACGCGAAATATCAAAAGCCCTGTTTTTTGGGCATATATAACGCCATTCTTGGTTCATGGTCCCTTGTTTTAAGAGATATTTATCTAATAACTTTGACCGGCCAGAAATGATACGTGACCGAGCTAAAATGAATTTGGCCGGTCATCATGTCCGGAGACTCGCCGGAACTTTTTCGAGCCCCGATACACAGTGCTGGACATTATTTAAACTGGACTGAAAACAATAAAGACTACATGGCTGTTAAAATAGTTTCAGTGTTTCGGACTGCAGTACCCTTTTTTTTGACTTGTCAGGCGTTAAAACATGGTTCAAGTTATCGATGGCAAATTTATATGGAAATCATCGACCATGATTTGAAGGGAAACAAAAATTACTTTGAATTAGCTGAAGATGTAAATGTATGAATGAAATCCAGGGGAAACCGATTTTGGTTCGAGTTAGCCGCGAGGGTTCGAGTTATCGGGAGTCGACTGGATTTTTAGTCAATTATAATGAGCCTAGCTACCTTACTGGTACTTAATTTCGCGGGGTTTTATTTTCGTGATTTCAAGAGGCAAGTATGAAGAAATGCACTAAATTTCTCGATTTAGGCGTTCAAAACTTCATTTAATTTTTGTAAAAAAGTCTAATTTTTTTTCGCAAAAATTAGACTAGTCATACTGGAACAAGCAATGTGTGAAATTTTTTCGAATGAACGTTAAATAAATTCAATAATTACAACTAAATGGAGCTTACTAGTAAAACCAGTTAATTCGTATTGTCGATACATATCATGTATTTTTTGCTATTACAAGTTGAAGGGTTTTTTTTCTGTGAGGTTTTAATTTTCTACATAGTATTTAATTTTGCGTGGCTTTGTGCTTAAATTTCGCGAGGATTTATAGTCGGGGGTCTTAAATTTCACGATTTTTTTTTACAATCACGAAAGACGGGAAATTTAAGACCCACGAAATTAAGTACCAATAAGGGATGTGGAAATTTCGTATATTAGCTGGAACCAAGTTTTTGGTGGTCTTGATGGAGGACAAGTGTAATGGTTGTTCCGTTTGGATTTTGTAGTTCACCACCCTTGTTTCATGAAGCCTTGTTCTCATATCTGCTCTGTTGGTGTGCATGGACATGCTCAGTGTTCTTGTCCCATGGATATGATTCTTGCTGACAACAATTCTACTTGCAGAGGTTAGTTGTCTTATCACTACTATGAGTGACAATTTAAAAAGTGAAATGATTTACAATAAAGAAAGGAGCACTATTAATTTTACTGTTTGTGACTAATTGAGCAGCGTTTTAGCACCTGCCTTTTAAGACAGTGAAAAGTTGCTGCCAAAATGTATGAAATTTATAAGGAAAATTATTCTTTAACAGCTCCGAAGACGTGCAAACCAGAGCAATTTACTTGCTCCAGTGGACAATGCATCCCTCAAGGCTGGATCTGTGATGACAGCGAGGACTGCAATGATGGTTCCGACGAACAAAACTGCAGTAAGTCCCTTTCCTAACATTCTCTACACGGGATGATTTATTTGTGGGAGTACCCTTGATCTACTGTATTTTGCGGACTCCTGCGCGATCCGCGCTATTTTCGTAGTAGTGGTGTTCGCTGTATTGCAATTTCGTCGTTACGAATGTATTGGAAGAAATGTGGGAATTTCTGACCCTTGTGTCCGCTTAGTTAATATGGTTTGGTTTAGATGGTTCGTTATTTTGTAACTCGCCTAAAATGGCTCCGACGAATTATGTTGCGTATGTTATTCATTCAACATACTATTATCACGTCGACAGTAAAAATAAAATAAATCAATAACCAGAAGGTAGGGAGTACAGGCGAGATACATCGCTCTTGGTTCTACGCTGCTTTTCGTTACTTCACGCGAAAGAAAATCAAAACGCGCGTGATTGAATTATGAGTGACAGCTAGTCCAAACCCGCTTGATTGGATTGCGTTCTGTGCTTTCCATTCGTCCTTAATGAAAGTTCAAAGGAACGCTGGCTGCGTATTTGCCGCGCATGCGTAGTGGCAACTTGGAGATAAGGATTGCGGGCTCCTCTGGTCACCCGCAGTAAAATTTTATTTTTGTTAAGATTCTCAGACCGGAATGTTGACTATCACTTTTGCAATTTGACACCTAAACAGCAAAATGCCCTAAAGGCGAAGTGAGATGTGATGGAGGAAAATGCATCAGTGTGACGAAACTTTGTGACGGTAACGCCGACTGCGAGGACGGCTCGGATGAGAAGCCGTACAATTGTCGTAAGTCTAACGCTTCATAGTTCTTGTTCCTATAACCTTTAGCATCAGCGTGCATATTCTCTCACTGTTCTCAGTTCACTTCCCAAAATTCTGAGTAAGGAGAATTTGTTTAACAATCAAAGCCTTTTGGTGACGTTTCCTGAAATCCTAGAAGCGAGTGATGTTTGATAAGCAATTATCTTTCTTCAAAATAACAACCGGAAGTATATATCTCGCTCTTGCGGGCACGGTTGCGATGGAGATTTCCTACTTAGATTTTTGTTCGGCGATTTGCTGCTGGGTGTCTAAACGCTTTGCCCAAAACAAAATCGCCGTCCGGTTAGCTCCGTAATAAACCAATTCCCCACGTACTCATTGTTTTTTTTTTTTTCATTCTTTGTAGGACTTGAATGTGCTGATGATGAATTCCGGTGCGCGACGGTTTGCATTGCAAAGGATTGGGTCTGCGATAACCATGATGATTGTGGTGACAATGCTGATGAGATAGATTGTGACGTCATAACTGGTATGTATGTTCTCTGCTAAGTGCTTGCCAACAAAGTGTTTTCCTTGGTGAAGGATAGAGATACCCTTGGCACTCAAAATATTAAATTCAATTGTTTTTAAGCTTCGATCACCTAAACCTTGGGACCGGTGCTACTGAAGTATCTGTGTTAAGTTACGGACGGGCAGCTGCAACCTGTTTCGCAACATACTTGAGTAACATAATTAATAATTAATGAATGAGGCTGAGTATCTTATGAAGAATTAAGGAGATCTAGGAGGGTGCTTTCCGTCGAGGCCGCAGACCGAGGGGGATAACACCCTCCGAGACGTTCATAATTCTTCATATAATACGAAGGGCGAATTCAATAATTTTTTTATTATTCATTCAAATAATTCCTGGTTTAAAATCATAGCTAAAACATGCTTACCTCCATCGATGGTTAAGTTCATCTTCGATAGCGCACGTTTAGGGTTCTTCAAGTCCGCAAATAATCTCCAAATAGCAAATGTCGCCCTTCGAGTTGTCTTCTTGCTGTTCTTGCCATGTTTTTTAGCCATTATTTCGCCTTGTTCTCACTCTTGAAACGAGTGAAAGGAACGGCATTTTTGTTTTCACAACCAAAACAACTCAACCTCTTCCCCAGGTCTTCTCAGTTAACGTGACATTAACCTGCAAGGTAGCTGCACTTTTGACGTCGTCGGTTGATTAATCGCAAAATTCTTCAAAATTTAGTCATCAGTAGCTGGTTATGGTGAATTATGCGTGTGCTTTTAGCCAATCAGAATCGGGGAAATATTTTGAATGAATAATAAATGGAGTTAACCAGTTCGGGAGTATGCCAGTTTTGGAAGAAGCGATGACGTCATGATTCTATTGTTCTGCTAAAAATACGCAAAAATGGGAAAAAATAATGGCCAAAAACAAGGGAACTTTTTTCAAAGCCTGTTCCAGGTCCACTCGTTCAATATCCGGGACTTCCGAGCTAGCAGTGCTGATGAAGAAGCCTTTTCCTTGCTTTTTGAATGTCAAGGGCAGTTTCGTGCCACATTACGGTAGCTAAAATCGACAGTTATCAAACAGCGTTCGAAGACGTCGCTGCCATCTTGACGGGCATCGAATGTAAGTACATGTCTTTATGTTTAGTTTTCAGTATCTTGCCGAATTTTTACGAAATCAAGACTAATTTTCCTCAAAACTACAACGTTTAAGGTGTGTTCAGGCAAAGTTTCATCGATGGTAACAACCTAGTAAAAATGGTAACCACACATTGAAAATTGCCAACAGACAGGAAGGGTTACTATATTGATGGTTATGCCTTGTCTGTCTATATATTTTTAGTTATAAGCGATCAAGTCTGTTTTTGGTTGTGTTCACCGGCAATGTATGCGACTCTGATCTAGGAATCACTTTATTGATCCAGATCATGTGTGTGGAATGAGTTTTAAATCAGTGTGAGTAGGTTCTAATATTGATTTCTTATATTTTGATCAGGATGTCGCTCCAAAATGTAGACAAACATCTGGACATATTACAAAAATGTTGTCGCGTTTGTGCCAAAAAGCTGGGAAAAGGAACGAGGAAGACAAATGTTAAATATCTTCAGAACGACATATTTGTGCTCTGAGGCCAAAATGTTGCTTTAGATTCGCCTCATGTTACTCTGTAATAAAAAATTTAATGTCCAAATTCAACCCTACCTCAGTAAAATCAAACATGTGTTTTTGTTTCTTTGTAGTGTGGTCACAGGCTTACCTACCACCACAAAAGCCCCTCCTCCCTCTCAAAAATGGGTAAGAGGGAAACAGGTTGGAGGGCGGGCTTATATACCTTGTGAGTGGAAGCTCACACTCAATGACCATTCAACCATAGAAGAGACTGTGGCCCTTATTCAAGGGGCTTTAAAGGAGATGGATGAGGAAGGAGTCATGGAAGTGGAGGCTTGTGAAGATTTTCTCCACATAATGTTCAATCCCTTGCGTCAAATATTTTTTGTACTTTACAAATGCCAAATACATAATATGTTCAGTCCCTGTGCTGTGCAAAGGTCAATCTGAAACAGGAAAAATGCCACACTCTCCCCCATCAATACCTTTGCATGAGCAATAAGCCCACATTTTATGTCGTAATATTGAATATGTTTGTATTGGAATAAATCCTAAATTATTGAGATTCTCTCGATGAAAAAGCATCTATATTAATGTATCGTCTTCAACAAATCATCCTCCCTGATAAATAATACATGAGAGACATCTCACAAGATAACAATTGAAAACCTATGTCAGCTGCTACTGTCTTCATTATATCAATTAAGCTTTGGTTTTTGGTTTTCATGTCCAAGAAGGTGTTAAAAAAACAAGATTTTGAGATATAAGACTGTGTATAATATGCGAGCCAGCGAGCCATGGCAGCGAGTCATGCAGGTCAGATACAACTCATTGAAAACAATACATAAAATCTAAAACGGTAATACCGAAAGAATTAGCTGAAAGCTAACCATGGTAAATAAGACTAGTGTTTAACCCTAAACAGCACTTAATCATAACCCTAACCCCAACCTAAACCCTAATCAGTAAAAAGAATGCCCAACCGTAATCTGTAAAATTTGCAGTTTTTACTTGTTTTTACTTTATTTTTGCTGATGGTCTGCGAACTTGCATAGCTCCCTTGCTCATAGTTTATGTCAGGACCAGAAATAAAATGTTTCTTTACAAAAACAAATTATAACATAGCTAGAAAATTCGCCTAATCAAATTCAATAGCGCGAGCGTGCTTCATATTCCTATTGAGCACGCTGATGACGTCAATAAACTATTCGTAATTCCTCGAGTTGTTGTGAGCTTAGCAATCCTGAATCTCCTGAGTGCATCCATAACTCAGCAATGGACAATGACGCGTTTACCATGTGTTTTATAAGGAAATTTGAGAGGAAACGTTTGAATTTGTTAACCGATAGTAGTGAAAAGAGGTGAGTGTTGTTGTTGTTGTGATCTCCGCGAGCTGTGCGGGCTATGGCGTGAGATCATTCTTTTCAAAGTTGTTTTCTCTCAATGGCAATTTTTCGGTAAATTAATAGTTTTCCGGCACCTAAATATGGATTTTACAATCATTTTAGAGTACACTTTCTCTCAGTTTCAGGATAAAAACACAAGATTAACTGTGAGGAAAAAATATATATAGTCACGTAAACATTGACGCGTACTGCTTTGAGCGCGCCCAACAATAATAAAATTTTAAGTTAACTGTTGCATTGACCGCTTTGATAATGTTATAAAACAATTAGTTCATGCTGCAGCTGTGCGTATGTCGAGATATTGAGCACTTGGGAAGTTTGGAGAGCACTCAAGAGGCTAGAGTTGCACTCGGCTGCGCCTCGTGCAACTCTTACGCCTCTTTCGTGCTCTCCAAACTTCCCGCGTGCTCAATATCTCGACATACGCACGCTGACGCATGAACTAATTGTTAAATGTACTGAACAATAAGATTAATAACTTTTATAATTGTATCTTTACTCTGATGTGTGAGCTTCGTTTTCTTGGAAGTGCTGTTCAATAGAAACATGGAGAACTATGAAAAAGAACTTTGGAAAACTTATGTTATGTCCATGCCAAGTGCAGCAATCATTATTATTTTGGGCCAAACCTTGTCTAATAGAATTGTTTGAGGGTCCCCACAGAGAAGACTTGGAGGAACGTGCTCCTCAAAGTTACAATGCCTTTGGTTTGAAGGCAACCCCAGAGTTAAAAACAATATTTAGTATTAGTATTTTCACACTCAGTGATCTTGGTAATTCAAGCAATCTGATTGGTTAGCTCTCTCGGACTATGACGTTATATTCACCGCGCTAGGCGGTGAATCAGGCGGTGTGCGTCACGACCCACAAAGGTTCATGGGTAAAACTGTTACTGAGCCTCATTTCAATCGTGACACGGTCGAGTTCGCATCTCGTAAGAGAAATGAATCAAACCCAGGGATCAAAACACTGCTGCCTTTTCCGAAAAACATTACGGAAGAGAGAGATTTCGAGAAATTTCAAGATCTCATAGTGGCCTTAGATGCTTGCTATTGGCTTCACAAGACAATTTCAAGAAGTTTATCGCGATTCGGAGACGATCGTGCAATCTAGCCGACTTTGAGCGGCGACTAATTTCCTGCTTCTCATACGATTTTATGTACTGTTTGGTTTATATGTATGTTTTTATCTCACAGTTAAAGAGATATGTAGTTCATACCTGGATTTGCTTAACTAAAAAAAAAATTCATTCATTAGAAGTGTTTATATATTTGATGGACTTTCTTACCCGCAAAGCAGGGGGAGCGCGTGCAAACAGCAAGGTGAGAAATCGTCTCTCATAACAATGTTATTTTCATCGACAAGTTTATATTATTTTGAAAACAGTGCCCGCTTGAAATCCTTATGAGCAAATAAATCTTCAATTAGGCAAGGGGAAAACGGACCGAAAGAGCCGAACAGCTGCAGCACAATCGGAATTTCACCGAAGCTACAGCCGCAGAAATAAACAGTGAAATAAACCACGATCTTGTCTGTGCGGTCATTGAAGTGAGCGCAGTATATCGATTTTGTTATAAAGTAAACCCTACCCTCACAGTTTTAAAATCCTGTATGTTGTCTGGATCTTCGATAATGGTGTTGTGTTTTGGTAGAGATTTATAACAATTTATTCCCTCACGTATTAAAGTTTACACAAAGATAGCACACACCGCATGCAAATTATTTTAAAGTCACGCTTTCAGTTTCCGCACTGGGTTATGAAAAATGTCTTGTTTCCAAAGGTTATTACAATATTCAAACTTATTTACCTTTTGTGGTTTAAAATAGAACAAAGTCTTCCTGGATTTGGCGTTACTCGCTTCACGTCGGCTTCCGCTTCGGCATGTTTTCTCAGCCCGTTTCCCGGGAGTTGTGCCACTTGGCTGAGACGATGTCTTAATTCCAAGACACTTTCAACGGCTCATAACTGGAAAACTAACAGGGGTAGACCCGGGTAGACCCCGAAAATTGCAAAGAAGAAGGGTTGAAGTAACAAGATGGCAAAAATAATTCGATAAAACCGCTAACAGTAACCAGCAATAAATCCAAGAAGAACGGCAAAAACAACATTCAAATCCTCATGGCGGCCCGCACATGACCGAGCAATTCAAACTCGTCACAAACGCTCAAGAAAGCAAAATATTTAAAAGTAACGCAACTGCTATCAAGATAAAGTGTTCCAACAACTTTCCAAGGCGGTATAGTGTCGAAATTACCAACACAAGCTTGGAATAAAGCGAAAATTTCACCACGTATACCTCTGCAAACAGCTCTTTCCGAGGGCGAAAATCACTCTACAAATGACGCATTCTGATTGGTCGAATCTCGTGACGCACACCGCCTGGCGGTGAATATAAAGCCGAACAAAATCGCTGTCGTGAACTGGGTGTTTTGCCAAAGTTTCAAAGTAAAACCTTTTTGAAAATACACGAATATCCAAGTGCTGATGACTTTGAAGGCAAGAAAAGACTTCATGGTGTTTAAACAGCGTGATTTATTGTGAAGTGGTTTACATTAGCTGACTTTTTGTACGCTGGAAGCTGTGTTTACCACTACAGAGTAAAACGAGGTCGCTTTGTCACTGTTTTGTGATTTCGGGATTTTCTCGCAAGACCAATTTTGCCTATAAATAGAAGTTAATTTATGGAGAAGAGAGGAAGGCAAATATTTTCGAAAATTGTACGTGCCAGCAACTTAACAAGGCAAAGAACTTTGGAGATAAACAACGCTAACCTTGATCGCACCCGCTGTTGACAGCATTTGCAAGAAGCGATGAAGAAAACTTTCTCATTCACGGTGAGTTGACAGAAGCAAATAAAGCTCTAGATTCTTTTCTTCTCAGAATTGGGTAGTAATTTAAATTTTCGGCGTTTTCTTTTAAACCGTTGATGCTAAAGCTTACAAAACTCGATACAAAAGGATTAAAACTATCATTTGCCATGATTGAAGATACTGTAAAGATCTAACTTTAGCGCATCCACTGTTTACGACTTCGTGTTCACGCATGAATTTTCACCCGTCAATCAAACTAATCGTTTTTTAATGGTTTCCTTTCTGATTCTGTTGAGATCACTTCGTGTGAATATACTAAAACAATTATTCGGATATACATCAAATCCCATATAAGAGGATATTTTATAACAACCCATAACCCTGTTGATCTCTGACCTCTGGTCAAATCCGGTGGACTACAAGACTATAGTATTCCATTTTAGTCAATATATCCAAAAACATGTAACAGGCATTCTTAGTTTTCCAATATGTATATTAAATTCTAAAGAGTCTCTTGCATTTGTTAAGCTTGACCAAATAATCAGTGAATTTCAGACAGTGGAATAATTGAAAGCAGTAGGTTTTTGTGAAGCGGGACAAAGAAAAAATGATCAGGGATGATAAGCACTTTGTGGGTTTTCAAGAAGAAAACGCGAACACAATACCCTCAGAAATCCCTTGTAAACATGTTGTATACCTGGACGGAACCCCTTCAGGACATACACCAACAGAACATCATATTCGAAAAAAACAGATATTTTACTCACAAATGACTCGCTTGCACCAAAACAATAACCTGAATTACAGCCGTCTTCTCCGGCCAGTCGCTCACTCCCCGAGAGAGAAACAGAAGCAACGGGAAAAATTACAGTAAAACTTACTCTTTGCAAACATAAGGAAATAAGTTATAGAACAACTCACTTTTTTAGTTGCTTCCAAAGCATTCTTTTTTCTTATAATATAAAAAATTAATGAAAGAAATAGGCACAAACTTGTTAGCGTGCTTACCCATTTACATACGCAGTGAGTACGAAGTGCCTACAAAGCGCGCAATAAGCGAAGAACTATAGCGCGAGAATGGTTACTCCTTGTCCTCAAGGTACTTCCCAATTCATAGTAAGGAGAAGAGAAATAAAAGGCTCGATGAAACAAGAATAAACGAGAATTTCTGTTAATACTCTTTCCTCTCCCTTGTCCGCCATTTTGTATGTTTTGAAAATGACCATCGCCATGGTGATCATGTTATGGATGGTGACGTAGACCATTGTTTTCGTTTCTTCCAAAACTGGCATACTCCCGAACTGTTAACGGACCCTGTCAGATTATGTCTCGATGCGTCATACTTTGTACCTTTCTACGGTAGCAATCTCACAGTGAACTTACGCAGTAGGACGGCTGAGGAAAGAAGACAGCAAACCTTGTGTGACAGGCGTGACAATAATTATGGTTTGAAAAAAAACTTTGATCTACAAAACCTACCAAAACTTCACCTTTCTTTAAACAGAAAAAGATGACAGTAATGTTAAGTGAAGATCACTACAAAACACACAACTAACAGCTCTGTTACGTTTGTCACGCCTAAACGTTTACGTCTTCTTCTTTCTGCCGTCATGTTGCGTAAGCTCACTATTTTAGGAAAACAAAAGAAAAACAGTTCGAGAAATACGACTACAATACGTGCATCGCGGCCATACTTTTTTGACAGCTATTCATTCACAGTTGCGTTATTTTTGTTATTTTTTTCATTAGTAGGCGGGATGTCGAAAACAATGGCTTCCTTGCAGGCGTTCCCCTCCTCCCTCCTCTCTCGCACGTGGTCTTGCGCCCTAATTCCCTTCCCCTTCCTTTCGAACGCCTGCCACGCAGGCTTATTTAATCTAGACGTAGTTCTTTTTTTAATTCGACTCCCTGAAATAATAAGAACACTGATTTTGTTGTTTATTTTGCTCCATATTTATGGCGTTGCTACAGCGACAGAGAGTTATTTTCTGCCACGTTCGCAGCAATTTCTTTCCTTAGTATGAACGTTAACTGCGCTTAAGCTAAAAAAAACACATAGTAATCAATAACAATCGATAAAAAACATTATCGACTTCTATCGGAAATCGATATTAATCGAAGTCACAACTTTCTTCTTTTTTTGTATCCATTGATATCGGAAATCATTATTCATCGATATTTGAAATCAATGACTATCGATTATTATCGATTATAGGTTTAAAGATTAACTACGTGTGGCATATTTTAATGTGTAATACTATGCGGTCACATCGCACAGTCCTGGCTCGATTTTTTTAAATGATTTTTAATCTTTATTTTTCTAGTAATGTTCCCACAACAAGCTTGTAAAAACAGATGAAAAAATCTCACTTTGCAATATTATCCCTCAACAGCAAAATGCCCTAAAGGCGAGCTGAGATGTGATGGAGAAAAATGCATCAGTGTGACGAAGCTTTGCGACGGTAACGCCGACTGCGAGGACGGCTCGGATGAGGAGCCGAACAATTGTCGTAAGTCTAACGCTTCATAGTTCTTGTTCCTATAACCTTTAGCATCAGCGTGCATATTCTCTCACTGTTCTCAGTACACTTCCAAACTTTCTGAGTTAGAAGAATTTATTTAACAATCAAAGCCTTTTGGTGACGTTTCCTGAAATCCGAGAAGCGTGTGATGTTTGATAAGCAATTATCTTTAGTCAAAATAACAACCGAAAGTAGATATCTCGCTCGTGCGGGCACGGTTGCGATGGAGATTTCCTCCTTAGATTTTTGTTCGGCGATTTGCTGCTGGGTGTGCAAACGCTTTGCCCAAAACAAATTCGCCGTCTGGTTAGCTCAGTTGGGAGAGCGCTGGTCTGCCATATGGGAGGACTTGGGTGCAAACCCCGCCCGGATTAATATAACAGTCAGGGTCTTCACCTAATTTGAAGATCTTGTCCCAAACCAGATGGCCGCTCCATTAAGCGGTGACCTTAAGCTGTAGGCCTGGTCTCCTTCATCCTTCCTTATCAACTTCCTCATCAACGAAACGTTGCGACGGCGAAGCCGATTGCGTGAACGGTTCGGATGAGGCGGAGAATAATTGCCTTGTGCCCTTAGCCCTGACATCAGCATGCATATTCTACTCACTGTTCTCAACCCACTTCTTATTATTGTGACGAAAGGGAATTTCTTCAACAATCAAGGCCGTTTTTATGGCCTTTCCTTTATTCTAGCGCTCTGACTGTGTGATGTTTCAAAAGCAGTAATCAAATATAATAGACTGTGACGTCAGTGAAGCCAAGCATGTTCCTTTTTTAGTGCTTGCTAACAAGCTGTTTGTTGTCTTGTAGCATGGAGATGCCATTAGCTCCTCAAAAAAGAAAAAAAATTCCAGTTTTTAAAGCTACAGTCAACTCTTTCTGGCGATGCATTGCATAGCATAGTTCTGGCTCGATAAGAGTGATTGTCGTGAAGCTGTATTGAAAGAGTAAATTTAATGTTATACTTTATCGGCCCACACCATTTGCAGTTTTGGTGGACATCTCATGAACATACCTTTAATACTAGCTACTTTCTTTTTATATCATTTGTGACAACACTGTTGAGGGCTTGATTTTAAAGGGTTCCTCGTAGATCTGGTATCTCTGGACGATTGGACTGTAATGTGGGACGCCCTTGTAGTAATCCCATAGATTCTCTATTTTTTTTGCCACGCCTTCTTTTTTGTGTCACATTTAATGAAAGGAGGCAAGCAATTGTGCTTAAAGTAGTACTCTAAAAACATTAATTACCAATTACATGATACAAAAAGCCACATTTCCTATCAGACAGGTGCAGCGTCCTTTCACAAGTAGATTTTTCTGAAACATCATCACCATTGGACGCGTCATCGCGTAGCTAGAATTCCCTGCCCAGTGAGGTCACCAAAAAATTTCCTTCAGCTTAGACTTGGTTAGCGTCCACTTTGCACCGTTTAGCTCTTTGTATCTTGAACTCGTGTCAGTTTCTGTTTCGCTGTCTTGTTTGTTCGTGTTTGTGTTGTTGTAGTAGGTGAGTCAGATATACATATGTTACAGTCGATAGACCACCCTTGGATCAATCATCTAAAAACAGCTTTTCACGATTTGAATGGCCTCTTGTGTGTTCAACGGGGTCTTTTATTATTCTAAGCCATTTCTGAATAAGGCTGAGATCTTTGCAGCTGTGGTTGAACCATACATAGTTGTGCTTTATTCTTGATAAAATGTATTTACTTTTTACCAATCACTTAACCATGTTAGAAGCTTTGTGAATCTAACTTCCTTTAAAACAAAATATGGCTGAATTTTCTACATTTCAGACAATGGGACATCAAGCTCGTTCAATGTTGGTTTAGCTGGTGGATTGATTCTTGTTACCCTCTCACTGGTTACCTGCGCGGTCATAGGAAAGCTGTGGTATAAAACGTCAAGACGTTCTAAAAAGGTAAACGTTTACGCCTTTCACACCGGCCTCTGTAACAAAAACAACAGGAAGCATGAAATACTACCACATTTTAAACTTATTTTTACGTGGATGACAAGAATAGTATAATAGCCGAAAACCGAGTGTAGCTAAATGTCGTGGGTCGTGGGTAGAGGTCGTGGGTCGTGGGTGTGGGTGTGGGCAATTGTCGTGGGTAAAAAAAAAGTCTTCAAAAAAAAATTAAAAAATTAAATAGCAAAAAGTTGTAAAATTCATGAAACGAAAATCTATTCCCTATTCCCTATTCCTATTCCCCTTCCCCGCGGTCAGCAAAGCAAATAACCGAATCCTCTAGCACAAACGGACACTAAAAAGACATTTAGGTGAAAAATAAAAGAAACTCTGTGCACTATGTAAACCTGAAGCAGGCCGTATAGAAAAACAGGAGACTGAACTGCTTTTTCTCAAAGATGTCAACATTTGTGACTGAAACGTCCATTCAGTTTAAGGAGTGACAATTCGAATCGTTACAGCAAAGATTTTGTACACAAAACAAAACAAAAAGTAAACAAGAAAATTGTATTTCCGTAGGGCAATAAAATTTACATACAGTCTCGCCTTAACTTGAAAGGTTGGGAATGAAGGTGGTTCCTTCGTAAGGTAAGAGACCTAAAACGTCTATCCAAAAATATGAAATACCTAAAAATTGTCCTTTTTCCCCTCCCTTTCTCACGGTGATCGCATTCCATCGTGATAAAAAATCTCCACTGACAGGAGCCCACTGCCACTGATCATTGGAATTGTACTACCGAATAAAGATAAATAACGAGCAGCTATTTCCATTCAGCGAGTCAGAGCTGTCCCATACTTTCTGCAAACTGCAGGTACAATTTACGTCTGTTTCGTTTATTTCGCGGCGATAGCTCAGGTATGGATAAATCTTCTTCGGCAACATGTCTTTTATACAGTAATGTTGTGAATGGGAAGCCAAGTCCCACGGGAAGAGGACGAAGAAGAAGGCAATCAAGGAGTTGGAGATTTTCGTTTCACAAATATTTTACAACTTTTTTTTACTTATTCCTTTTTTTCAATTACTTTACTTTGTCACTTTTTTCTATACTTTTTTTACCCACGACATTTCGCTACACTCCAGAAAACCCAGTCGGAATAACTTAAAGAGACAAACAGGCTGTGTGGTTTCATTCATGGCGGCTGGAGAAAAGAAATTAATCAAAGTGTGTATTAGGTACTGAACACGGAAATTAAAGTTGTTGATGACAGAGTGACAGTGTATACTACCGTGAATAATTCATCGAGAAGCGAGCGGAAGTGAGCTAGGTTAATAAATCTGTCGGAATTTGCTTCACCCGTGGCTCTCACGAAATACAGTAGCCAAGCGAAGTGTCATCTTGCTTTGGTCATAAATCTTTCTATCGGTTTGGTATCCAGAGTTGCCTAGCAACGATGTCGCGACTAAGCTCCAATTAACGTCATTCAGTCTGACGTCTCGTCTCTGTAGGTGCATTTTTCGGTTTCCAGGCAACACTTCCATGGAGCCGGTTGACGTCAAGGAGCATAGACCAATTCGGCTAGCCTGCGAAGCAAGCGTTTCTGTGCGGTTTAGGAGCAAAGAACGAGGAAAGTCAAAGACCGCGGGAAAAATGGCGTAAGTAAAAGAGCGGGGAGGGGGGAAGAAAGGAAGGAAACGCTTGCAGACAAACCCCTCGATTTTGAAAACCACCCACATGGCCTGTCGTGTCAATATTGTTCGAATAGCCAAGCCAATCAGGCGCTGCGTTCGCTGGCGAACGCAGGTTTTCAAAATCGAGGGGTTTGTCTGCAAGCGTTTCCTTCCTTCCTTCCCCTCCCCCTTCCCCCTCTTTCATTTTTTGGCTATCGTTTCATTTCTCGCACGGTCAAAACCGAAAATCTTGTTCCTCGGTCTTGTTTTGCTCCGAAACTAAACGGAAACGCTTGCTACGCAGGCTACAATTCGGCTAACTCAATGTTGTACCCAATTCATACCCTTTGGGAATAAAACTTTTTGTCTCAGGAATTTCCATATCATTTAAATGTGAATGCCACCTGATAATGCAAATACAGTGCACAAAGAATCTTAACCCCGAGAGATCTGAATTGGGTACAACATTTCGTTAGCCGAATTGGTCTATTGGCGGGGGCACCCAACGACGGTTTCCTCCATGCATTGAAAACACTTTTTAGGCTATCCAGAGTACTTTTAGATCTCTAGAAATACATTCTAAGCGGCGCTATAAGATTTGTATCTGTTCGGTCGTCCTAGGGCAACTTGAGTCTTTTGGAAATTACAAGGGCCTCCGTATTATTTTCCCGAAAATTTTAGATGTAATTTTAAGTTTTACGAAAGTGAGAATTTTTCTGATTCCTCCCTCCATCGCCTGTTTGAATACGAAAATTTTAGGTTTCCTTTTTCTACCAGAAAAAAGGCTAACTTGGGTACTGAAATGCGAAAAATTATCATTTAGAAAATCCTAGGGAATTTATTAGACATGTTACGAAAATTGTACATGAATGGAACTGTAATCTAGAACTTTTTAGCCTTCCCCAAGCTGTAGTCAGAAAAATTCCCATTAGCGAAAATTTCACACAACAGATTTCAAACCCAACGACCCTTTTCTGAGGGTACCAGGCTGACTGGTTACGCGTACGCGTGCGCTATGAGCGCGCGCATCGGACAGTGATCATGCTGACTAAACAGGTGGTGACTCATGACTCCGAGGACTGACCGACTGTGTGAATAGCGCCTGTCAGTCCTGTGTATCGGTCGATGGACACTCAATAAGTGCCGTGCGAATTGAGATCGGCAGGGTACAAGACGTCTGAAACTGGAATTAAAATCACTTAAATGCCTTTTCTTTTCTTATTTTTGGTCTTCTTATTTTTTTATTATAGTTATTCTTATTATTTCTATACATTCTACGTCGCCCTAGAAAATTCGAAGACATTCCCACAATAGATAAAGTTTTCGGAGAAAATTTGAAAGGACCCCTAAAAATTTCGGCGAAGGGAAAAGCTCATCCGGTAACCTTACGTTTTTGGAAAGCTTTCACTGTAGGCTGTTATTTTCGGGAAAGGCGATAAATACCCCTAAAAAATTCGAGAGGTTCAAAGCAGTCCTAGGATGACCGAACAGATCAAATTTTTTTAGCGACGCGAATTACTCATTTATATTGCTTTTAAAGCACTCCAGGATGCATAACGAGGCATTTCACATCATTTCCCAGAAAACGGTCGTTGGGTGCCCCTGATTAATTTCGACCGCAAAAGCATTTTACAGATAACATTGGAGCAACTTGGACCATTACGGCTTTATAGGTCGCGGGATATGTTTGTTTTTCGGAAGTGTGTTTCAGTTTGGCTTTTTACCGTCAAAACCTTGCTTTTCCCTGACATCATGATCTGTAGCTTTGTAATCCATGTTACACCGAGGGAAACCCACAATGAATTGGTTCTTTCCCCGCCGATTGATGTTACCGTTGGATCAAATCAACGACGCTGAATCAAAAACTGGCCGGTTTCAGCTCTCCTCCGTACCGCATTGATCGGCCGTTAAGCCCGAGGTCGAATTAACACCGAATTAATGCAAAATGGGCTTGAAATACTCGTTTCAGCTAATTTTTCTCAAATCTATCTTTGAATTCACGATAAATACAGCTCCACAAGCTTCGAACGGTGTGTATGGCAGAGAAAACTACTTGAAGTGTAATAATCGTACTACGTCAACATTTATTCAGTGCCAGCGTGGCCCAGTGGTCTGGGGGATGCACTCTCGCGCAGGAGGCCGGTTATTGTGTAGCTTCAATTAAATCTCCGCATGGATATTTTTGTTTTCTTTGTACATTTTTTAAAATCACATATTTATCTGGGCGACCTGTGGTGAGCCCAGTTTAAGAAATGGGTTTCATTTTTTTCTCGGGAGGGCGGCGGGGGGTATTTCCTGGGAAGTCGTAGCGGGGTGAACCGTCCGCCTCATCTAATCTTTACACTATTTCAGAGCAATATCTATAAGGTTAATGTGAGAGAGTTACTCTCCCGGGAAAAAACGGGGAGCCTGTTGAAGACATCCTGTCCCCCTCAACTGAAATCCCCAATTTAGGGCGGCATTACTCCATACCATACCGATGCTAACCTTTATCTGAATAAATAATGAGGCATCAACTTTACAAAAATATAGCTGATTTGTTGGTATACCACTTAACTTTTTCTAAGATGTAACGTAAATGGTCGAGAGAGGGTCTAATTTTGTTTAATTTTCGCCATATGTTTGAACTTGAAATCAGATTTAATTGGCGACTTGGAAGATTGTGTGATAATTGGTCATGCTGTTTGGGAGCAGAGATATTTGATGTCTGGGCCTTGCATGAATTTATACTTCGAAAGTAAATGATTAATTTTCGTTTGTTTGCTTGTTATTAATAGCAACACGTCATTGAACCCCCAAGTGGTATGACTGCAAGAAATTCTATGGGGGAAGAGAATGATGCTATGTTTACACCTGATCACGAAGACAACAGTAACGGTATTATAGATTCTCTTCAAGAGGAAGGAAGAGTACAGCTCCTTGGCGACACAACCGAGATATCCTCTGTATCAAGGCCGTCTGCCGGTACTTAAAGAACGTTTGATCCTTAAAACCAACTTTTGACAACAGCGTTTAACAAAAAAATGTCATTACTACTCATGCATGGTGGCAGCAATGGGGAAATTTAAAAGAAACATCGTATTTTTAATTCATATATTGCGTGGCTCAGGCTTGTTTGAATTTAAGTGGTATAATGCCCACAAATTGCTCTGCTTTAGAGTTGCCCTGCCGCCTGCATTTTTTTTTTTTCAGAGCAAAATTATTCCGGAAAAAATTATGTTTTAAGGGAAAGTACAAAATCTCCCTAAGAGAGTAGCAATAGAATCGAAGTCAATTCCGTTAATTTGGAAAGATATTTGATTTATACAACGATCGTTGCTATAAGAGTAACAAGCAAATAAAGTGGACTTTAAAGTCGTTTCTTTTTCGATGTCGATAACCAATTCCGTGCACGTGTAGACTGGAAAATAAGAAACTATTTTGATCCAGTTGGTTGAATTACAAAACCTTCCTCACCATTTACCAGCTTCTCTCAGCTTTTCGTCGTAGATATTTCAGATTTTTAAGCTCAAAACGCTCCAAAATACGACCGCACACCACATCAAACAACATCTTGGTCTCTGCCGTTGTGAAATCTGTTCCAGGAAAAATAATTTATGCTGCCTACTTGATTTCGGCAGGCAATGATCTGATTGGTGGAAGTCGATAACAACAAATCCACGCTTCCAGTCATCTTTTCGGGAAGGAGCGAGAGCTCATTTTTCAGGAAAGGCTGAGAAATCGAGGCTATTTTAAAAAGGGAGATTCCAGTTAAAAACACCAACAACAATCGTCAATAATTTAACGTTTCTGTTTGTCTTGCTTGTCTGTTCCTTTTTTGGACGACGTAGAAGACTCTCGAATTATCCTGGCATTTTCCTCTCGGTTCTATTATTGGAAATACTTTGTTTAACCCGACTACGACAAATAGGTAGCTTAGTTTTGTCTTGCCCAAAAAGCAAAACAAAACCCCTTTGACATTTCTTTTTAAATTTTATAGGCAACAGACTTACTAAGTTCATAACTCAAGCCCCTTTTTTTGTATAGCAAAACAGTGCAAACGCCCAAAACAGGACGCTCCGAAACACAAAGGTATTAACTCTAACAACTGAAGATGCGCGTCTCAAAATATGAAAAATACTCTTGGTGCTTAAGACAAAGAATACGATGCTGTGTTCATTCAAGAGCAAACTAAGGAGCTGGATGTTCCAAATCTGTTCTCCTTTTGAGACTTTACATTTTTGAGCAGCAAGTAATAATCGCTATGGTATTTTAGCCGTCTCTCCTTGCTACTCGCCGCTAGGGAGTCGCTTCGCCAGGAGGGAAGTCTGCAGGGACTGAAAATCTATACCGATGACGGAAAATCTGTCCGGAAGCTGGTCAGGAGCTCTGATTGGCCAAAGGAGTAGTTACATTGTTTTAGCTATTGCTTACGAATGACCGACAAAGACAAAGGGCCACGAAGGTCAAATGAAAACGCGATGAATTACTACAAAACAGTTAATATTAGTGGAATTTATTCTTCCTTACAAGAAGCATCTGAGTTTTGCTGAAGCTCGTTCGCAGAAGAACCCAAAACTTTACCATAATCGATCAGGAGAAACAAAATCGAACAACTATTCATTTGGAACCCCGTAACTAACAGGTTAATTATGTAAACATCGATTTTACCACCAGTGTGGAATTTCTGTTGTTGAGGGGAAGACGTCCCTCCTGGCGAAACTTCCCTACCGGCGAGGAGCGAGGAGAGACAGCTGTTTTCTCAGGCTAATGGTATTTCTCCTCTCCCTGTGAAGAGTTAATTTAAGTTGTTCTCATGGTTGAAACACTGCAAGAGGCTACTGGTGGTAAGTTGATAAACCATAAATCTGTCCCTTTCCAGGGCAAGTTTGTGTCGACAAGTCAAAACAGCGGTTTCACAGAAGTGTGTTGCCCAGCCCAGCACCCGTTGACATGCCTGCCAAAAGAAAAGTAGAGCCCAGCAAGCCGAAGGCTCGCAAGATGCGCAGTTATAACATCGGTAAAGACAGCACTTGCATCGGACAAGAAAATGCTTTGCATGGAGAGAGGTACAATTAGTGTTATGCAATTCCATAGTGTAATCTTTGAATATCGATTGAATAAGCGGATCAGTCTCATAATAAACCCTAGTAATAGTTGACACTACAGCTTCCCCCGTTCTGTATATTGTCGGTCAATAGTATTCTTGCTCGTTGTGTAGCTCTTTGAAATATACCGATTCATAATGAGGATTTTCACTCATATTCCATAAATACAGGAAACGCAAGGTTCCATGCACAGTTTCAGGTCGATTTACACAGCTTTGATCAAAACAATTCTCAGTTTCGAGAATAGTTTATTCTAAACCATAAGAAAAGATTTAATTAGAACTTGAATTTTTCGCTATTTCTCTTTCACTTTTGACATTCAGTTGATTTTATTTGCGGGAAAGTAAGCCTTAGAAATTAAACGTTTGATCGATTCACGCTCGCACATTCTAGTCTTATTTGAAACTTTATAACAAAAGGACATCTGTGAGCAGGGAATAAGTCAGCACAGAATTTGACTGTGGGCGAATTTCTGCAATCGTCCACCGTTCTGCTAGTGATAAGCTAGCCGTTGTTCACTCGTCTTGCTTGTTTGGGGCTGAATCTTATTCCGGTCAAAGGGAGAGAAAGAGTGTCTGGCAAGGTTTCCAATATAAATCAAAGATTTGTGAACTCGTGTCTGGCAAACACTCCAAGTGTTTATATATACACAGTTAAACGCACCTTATAACCTCATCTGCGTTTGACTAGTGTCTTTTGGTCCATAATTTTCAAAACAACTGCTCCACAGAATGTCATTGCGTAACGCGAAAGAGTATCAAAGTATGACTGCACAATAAATGTCACAAAATCTACCTGAGCGGTCCCTTCAGGATTTTCCGTCTTTACGGCTTCCTAACCATTTCGTACTTGCGGGCGCAAACAATAGAAACGTCATCACTACCTACCGATTCCTCGCGGTCCCTGTTCAAGCAAATCGAGATTTTTTCTACATTGACTGTATGACTGTACATTTCAACCGTAAGTACTTTCCTTAATATACGCGCGAGTTACTAGAGTGCCTCCTCGGGATTTCGCCTTCTGGGCGAAATCCCTGCGAGGGCAATTAAAAACATTTGCCTTCTAACTGACCAAAATCTTTTATTTTTTTTCAAAAAAGAAGGAAGTCATAAAATAATAGTTTCTTGGTGTCTCGCACTGTGGCAATCAGTAGAATCACCCCACACAGACATAGCTTACCCATGCAGTGCTCGCTCACTTAACACTGGTTATAACTCTGACCAGTTACTAGCGAGAGCTCTATCTCAAGCGTGCGTTTGGATTTTTCCCTCGGGAGTGGCTTTCTGTGTGTAAATAAACACACGTGCAAACGGATTTGCCCAGTTTAGCTGCAAGGGCGGGAAGATTGGTTTTCCTACTATTCCTTGATCTTTTCCGATAAACAACCTCTGCAAGTGGTTGTTTTGTCTGTTTACTTTCCCGAGGCGCGACCTGCTGCTGCTCCTGCTTCACTTGCTCTTTCTGCTCCGTCTGTCGGGAATTCAGCGCCAGTTAATACTGTTGTTGCTACCCCACAAGAGTTAAATTCGTTTCTTAGCTCTATATTTTGCTTTCACTAAGTTTACTTGTCTTCTGATTGCCCTAGTCATTTTTCTTACGTCGGTATTTTTGTCGGTTGGGGCCGGCTTTGAAATATTGTCTTGACGTTTCCCTTGTACGGTTGGGGGCGGCTTTGATTTAGAGTTTTAGCTTCACGTTTGCGGCAAACGTCTGATTCAAGTTTAGAATTTCACGGTAGAAAACGAGTAGATAAAAACAGCTCAAAACAATTCTTACGGAGAAAAAATTAAGTGAAACTACTAATTTGTGGAGAGACATAATGACCAGTAAACGACAATTGAAGGGGCAACTTGGTCATGTGGTAAAATTGCGCGTTTGTCTTTTGACGAGGCCTGCCTTGGCTAATCACGCTTCAATGGGAACGCACGCTGTATACTGAAATTCTCGCTGTACAATTTCATTCACACGCGATGTTGGCCGAGAATAATTATTTTACATGCTGGCTTGGCTTTTGCTTGTCTCTGTGAACGTAACTATTTTCTAGTCTTATTCGTTTCGATTGTGTCCGACAGGAGTTATCGCAAATCCACATGCAGCTTGTCGACACAAACTTGCCCTGGATTGAAGAGTGGATGATCGAATGTTTTTTTTTTCTCTCAGTTTGCGAGCAGGCCGCGGAATTTTCCAAATCCTGCAATCTGATTGGTGTCGTCATTCTCTATGAACTACTATGTCGTTCTTGGTCTTTTCCCCACTATTGATTTTTGCTTCCAATTCTGAATCTAGACCGGTGTTAAAGTGGTACTGCCTCCTCTACTTGGATTTTAGTTTGCATAATAACTGGCCGCTTTTTATTTTCTTTCATCCGGCGTCCGAAGCAATAACGCAGAAATGAAAAAAAATTAAAACAAAAAACAAAAGAAGTGAAAGGGGGAAAGAGTGGTAAGAAAGACAACTTAGTTTACACGACAGGATATTCGCAACTTGTCACCCATCCAATTCCTAACCCCACCCATCAGGGCTTAATCAGTTGCAACCTTCGCCAGGTTTAGCTAAACAAGTGTGTCTATTATTATCATTATTTTCCCCGCATTCTCTTGCTGTCAGCCAGTCGGATTTCGACCTACTTTGCAAATTTGTTTTTCCCTTACTAATTTCCCCAAGTCTCAACTTTTGCTGTGTCTTTTAACTTACCGCTCGCTGGCTTAAATGTTTATTTACTCTCTACTACTGGGTCATCTTTATATAAGCCTGGTAATTGGGGGCTCCCCTATATTTTGCATCAGCCCAACTATTCAAAATGAAATTCAGTTCCCGAAGCTTTACTTTAAACGCGTGTCTCGTTTTCGTGCTTTATCTTTGTCGTCCTTGAAGGGGAAATCCTGTACTGGAGATTTCAGGATAAATCCCCTAATTTGACAAGATGAATGTAGTCATAAGTACATATGCCGGCTGATGCGATAAATTTCGCAGGCTGGGGTTATGTGACTTCCCTGTTCAACGTGGAAATTTCATTGAAATGCGTGACTACTGGTCACCTTCCGAGCGCCCCCTCGCCGATTATCATCAGAGAGGCTCTAGCACTCAAAAATGCCTTCTTGACTGGTTTCGCTTCCGGCATCGATCCGGAGTTGACGCCTACGTGGACATACAGTCTACCGTTAGTTCGCACTTGGACAAATCAAGCTGGCATGAGCAAAGCTCTTTCAAACCAAGCCATCCAAACAACTTTGAAATTTTATATTGCCCTGTCCTTGGTGTACTGGTTTCTCCAGGAGATAACCTCACGGACGTCCCCTCCAGGGTTCCCTCCGCCAGTGTTTGCGTGCTGTCCCCTCGTGTTTGGAAAGAAAACTAGAACAGTTGGGGCCCTCGCTCCATCTGTTTAATAGCCTTAGATTCTAAGGCCCTATTGCTGCTTAGGGCTGCCGTTTGATATATTTCTCACTTTGCCCAACCAAAGGGTCCGCCGGAGTCATTGTTTTGTCTCAGACCTTCCATCCTTTAAACAACTCCTAATTCTTTCCAAATTTGGCTTTAAGAGCTGGTTTAGCGCTTCGGTTTCTAGCCCCCTAGCCTTTTCCTTTTACCTTTGTGGCATCTGATCCTCACACCCGTCGTTACTGGTGGCCTGTTATCTCGGGCGCGCTAATGATTCTGTCCTCCTCGGTACTTTGGCCGACCACATCGTGCTTTTATTTACTACTTCAGACAATGCATTCCTTTCTTAGCATTTACCTTGGAACATTTGGCCGTTTAAGGTATCTTCCTAATTCCACTTTTTTCGTTTTGGGGTCTCTGGACGGTTCCTTGATTCTGGCGCCCTTCTCTGTGGTGTTGCGAATGCTCGTATCTAAATGGCGACTGTTTTCCGTTCCGCCAACGATGTACGTGGGCTTCAAAGGTTTAATTCTTGGCTCACATCTCCAAGACGCTTAAATTAGGATTCGCAAAGACAGACACCAAAATAATTAAACGCGACTGCCCTAGAGCCTTTTGAAAGGTCTATTAGCACCAGAAAGCGCAACCGAAGGCTGTGTTTTTTAGATTTTTGTCCTCTTTACGACCACGTAAGACGTTATTTTCGGCCACATCGAAAGGTGTTGTTAGATCATTCTCTATATCTAGAACAAAATAGCAAAGGTAAAAAATGATGCGCAAAGACTCGTATCAGCGCCTTGGGTTACAGGGTAAGCAGACTTGCAGCTCTCTTACTCACGATTATCTGCTGGTACAGTGGACTCTCTCATCGTGAAATTTTTTACCCATTTTCAATTCATTGGCCGTGCAAGTGTCTGGAACGATCGCACTTGTTTTGGACCGAAATTTCGCCTCGCACTTGTCGGTCAAGCAATATCATAAACCTATTCAATCGGAACACAGTTACAGGCTAAAGTGTGTTCAAAGCGAGCCCCTGTTTTATACGAGAAATACAAGAAACTGCATGGTGTGCCACTCAGGATATCTTCTGTTACGTAACAGCATTTCGCCTTCCGAACCGTTACATTTACACTCGAGATGAAGCATTTGTCTCGCTTGGTTTTTGCGCAGGCCATCTAGATCTGATCCTTGTAGAATAAACACAGTTGATGTGTTAAGACACCCTGACGGCGCTTAACTAGCTAACTGTTTCACCAATGCGTCAAGAGTAACCTGAGATCAGGTTCTATTTTCGTTTCGCTTTGAAAATTACATTCCGGCGGGCAAGGCGAAACGAAAAGAGACCCTGATACAAACCTTTAACGAAATGTCTGCCGCCCACTTTTTTGATTGATTGACATTTGCCGAATCAGCCAATAAGAATTACTTCCGTTGCTTGTTTTTCTAGTATGCAAATTTTTCACGCGTGGGAAAAATGCAGACTGGCTGACTTAAAAAATAACTTTATCTGTTAATTTTTTTCAGCTAAAAATAAAACAGTCAGCACAATCACATTTAACTTCTTGCGAGATTAATAGAGATCTCGAAGGTTACTTCTGTTGGCGTAGAAGGTAAAAAGTTTTCGAAAAGACGGCGACACGATGTTCTACTAGTTTTATTATTTTGGCTAGGCGCTCTTGAATTTAAAATACTGAAATCTCTATTTTTCCGTTGTCTTGATATTTTCCTCGGCAATTTCCCCCGATTGTCAGTACATAAATCTTTAAAAACAAAAGCAAACAGCCAACGAGCGAGGACACCAGTTTTCTTGGTTTACTTTTAACAAAAAGCGTAGTCAAACAACCAGTCTGTCAACACTGAAAATTCCTTGAACAGCGATGCGATATTTTTCGTCTAATACTTCACAGCTGGCGATTGAGGTTTCTTTCGCAGTGAGCCTCCGCTTGCGTACCCCGTTCAGAGAAGTCATTCCCGGCTAAACTTTCAAATGAAACCAGTTTTAAGATGGACAGTATTTTGATTTGCTCCCCAACGTTTGTTGGTAAATCAAAATGCACCTTATTAGCGGTCAACAACTTGCAGAGGGATTCAACTTCGCGATACACTCACTTTCCGTAAATTAAGCAAATCCTGAGGAGATATGAACAACCACATGAATTTTCTGAATTTCCATGGCACATATTAAGGCATATTTTCCTACCATAAGACCATAAAACGATAAAAAAGACAGCAAAATCGATCCTTCTCTCCACCGACGAAGGATCATTCACGAAAACAACCACGCGAGGAAAAAGCGCTTTCAACTTCCGGCGTTTCCGACAGCCAATCAGATCTTGTGGCATTGTTCTAACAGCCAATCAGCGTTACGGCTAAAATCTGGCCGTAACGAGCACAAACTTGTAATAGTTTGTATCAGGCCCAATTTCAGCGGTAGTATGAGAACCGCTCAAAGTGCGCCTGATCTCAGGTTGCGTCAAGAGGGAAGGCGGCTCTTTTGTAGAATATTTTGACAATAATTTTCGTGAATGCATCATTCTTGGGGGCTCAAGCCGGCCTTTTGAAATTAGCGCTTGTCTTGTCATTTTAGTTTTGACATTTGACGATTTAGTTAAAGGTATATGGGGTTGGGGATGCCAATGGAGATCTTTCACTTCATCTAGTACCGTCTTTCGCCTCCGAGCCAAGGACTTGCATGTGCGCTGTCACTCATCTCTCGAGTCGTCAGGCATAGGGAGAGAGCGTCCACTTTGAATAGACCTCTTGAGCTTGTATGCTTTGTTTGCCCGATATAGGTCCCAGGGGAACTTGACCCTTTGTCTTTTCATAAATTATACATACATATGCACGTACACAAGAAGAAGTTTGAAAGAAACAGTTCTCTGGAGTATTATCACATGACCTGTATTGGGAAAACAATTAAAACATACAAGCTAAAGAGGACTACTGGTCAGAATTAA